CATGATTTCTGTTGTGTTGTCGAGGTGCTGACTGAATACAAACTGTTAGAAATGTGCTTTTAGTGTTAGAAAGACAAACATTTTTTTCCCATCCGCATATACGCGACTAAGTTTAGAAGCGGGCAGGAATATCTGGAGGACTCGGAGTATCAACTGAACTGAGATCTGCTGCTGTGAAGATGGTGTTTGTTAAAGAGGAGAGTGAGGAGGACATGAGTGAACCAGAACCCTGGAGAATAAAACACGAGGAACAAGGAGGTTGGTGATTCTTTATTCATCTTTAGGACTCTCAAGTTTTAAAGACAGGCAAAAGTGTTTGACGTTATCTGTTTTACAGAAGTCTTCCTGCGGAATTCTATGGCGTGATTTTAATGACAAATGTCTTAAACGCATTGTGATTTTAACGCGAGAGCGCGCGGATTCCCTTTGTTCTGGCACTAAACTGGAAGCGCGCTCTCCAATGTACAATTCTATTTAATATAGCCTACATCCCCAATTAGTTGTGATTTTGGTAATTTGTCACATTGAGCGTTGTATATGTCTCCATGGCAGGGGGATCCTGGAGAATGACATGAGGGAGTGGAAACCCTAGTACTGCAGGACAGCGGCTTTACGCTTCAAACTTAAAATATCACTCTTTCATTTCATCTTTGTTGCAAAACATTCTTCTCAGAATAATTTCTGTTAAGAATATGTGTACATTTGTATTTAAAACTGTAATCATTTGTGTTATAATGACCACTATAAGGTGTTCTAGTATGTTTTCCTTGATTGTTTTTCCCTGAAGAGAAGTTGTTGAAAACGAAAGTTAAAGTGAACGCACGATCATTGCGTTTTACGGTGAAATGAGAGTTTCGTGTCTTAAATAAATAATTTATTTCTCATCGACCACACCAGAAACTGTAATTCTCCCCTCATATTCTTCCTATATTCTGATACAAAGGATTAATAAAGCAAAACTGTATTGGTTTCCCTCAGTGCTGGGTCATTGTTCATTCAAATGATGATTTCTAATGATGAATGAGGCACCTGGAATCCTAATTTCTTACAATATTGAATCGATTTTTTTTCCCTGCACCCCTACTAATTTCCTTTTATTTTCAATATTAACAATTTTTTTTTATAATTTTACTGTTTTCATTTTAGGCCTGATGAAAGTGAAAGAGGAAAGACCAGATCTGAATGAAGTGGAGGAGAAACATCACCAGAAAGCTCATGATGTCACCGCTGGAGAGAAGCCATTGAGTTGCTCCAAAACTGAAAACAGTTGCTCACAAAGCAGCATCCGAATAACAAAAGTCAAAAAGCCTTTCACCTGTTCTCAGTGTGGAAAGACTTTCACACGTAAAGGCAGTCTGAAGAAGCACATGCTAATTCATGATGGAATAAAGCCTTTCAGCTGCTCTCAGTGTGGAAAGAGTTTTACACAGAAAACACACCTAAATTATCATCTTTTAATTCACAATTTGGAAAAGCCTTTCACCTGTTCTCACTGTGGAAAGACTTTCACACGTAAAGAATACCTTAAAACTCACATGTTAATTCATGATGGAATAAAGCCTTTCACCTGCTCTCAGTGTGGGAAGAGTTTTACACAGAAAGGAAACCTTAACTATCACATGTTTATTCATACTGGAGAAAAGCCTTTCAGCTGCTCTCGCTGTGGACAAAGATTTACACATAAAGGACACTTTAATGAACATGTGTTAATTCACAATTCAGTAAAGCCTTTCGTCTGCTCTCAGTGTGGAAACTCTTACAGTCATAAATCAAGTCTTAAGAATCACATGTTAATTCATACTCGAAAAAGCCCTTTACCTGCTCTCAGCGTGGAAAGACATGAGAAATCACACTGAAGCAATGCCTTACACATGTGTTAGGATAAATATTTTTGCATCTCCTTTTCTGTCCATCTAATCATTTCTTCTACAGTGTTTAGTCACACACTCGTAAGACATGTGATAGTTATTATATATAAGGCGTAAGGTTGCATTTGGTATATGAATGGAATTGTTTGTCTCTCTATGAACTCTTTCAGTGAAGTTGGCAGTCTCGTTTCTTTTCTATATGGACTTATTATTTTATTTTTGTTTTTAGTCAACACCTGAGACTTGCTGAATAAACTATGGCACGAGCACAATAAAGCTGACTTTGAGTCTGCACTTCTTGTTTGTGTCATTGTTGGTTCTCAGATCTTGTGTTCTGCTCTGCACTGATCAGTGTCTATGTTCTGATGTCAAATTTCATCTAATAATTTGGGGCACTCATCCGCAATCGGTCCAGAACCGAGAGATCGTGACTTGTGAGGACAAAAACTGTTGTATTGCCTAGACTCACAAAGTCTCACTCGACGTCATACTCGAGAATATTCCTGAAACACTTGAAATTCCTCCTTAAAAACCAATAATCATGGAGGAATTTAGAAAAATTTACATTTGTGTATGTAAAATTTAATCAAAAGCAACACATAATTTATTATGTAAGAAACCTTTTTATCCTCACTTAACAATTCCCCACGACAGTATCAGCCTTACAGACATTCATCTGAACGCATCATTCCAGTGTTTATCAAATTGAACTGAAAAAAAAACCAACTAATGTTCAACCGTTTCTATCGCTAATTTGTATATTTAACATAAATTTGTAAAAATATACACTAAACCTACCACCAGAGTCATCCTTGTTTCTTCCCTCTGTAGGCTAAGCTACTTTATGTTGTTGATCTATAGTGACTGAAAAGGCAATACCATGATTCCTTAATTATTTTTCGTTTATTTTACTTGAGGTTTTATGCTAATTAGTCACAGTATTCAACAAACAACCAGGTTTAATTGCAAGAAAGTACATGGGTGTAAACTTAGTCACAATTATTCAACATTCAGCCAGCAACCAGGTTACAAGAAACTATTATTTAGGGGTGAAATAAACTTTTTGGTGTTGGTCCATTGGAGAGTCCTGCAAAATTTATGGGACTGCTTTTTTCCGATTCGGTAGGTGGCGCTGTCACACATATGTATTTCATCGTCTATGGGACCTTCTCTCGACGCTTCACACTCCAGTCCAGTCGGTGGCGGTAAGACACATACGTTTGTTTACAAACCACTATTGAACCTCAGAGGAAGAAGATTAGTTTTCAGCATGATCTCTGCGGTTTGGTCGAGGTGCTGGCTAAATATAAACTTTTAGAAATGTGCTTTTAGTGTAGAGAAAGACAAACAGGTTTGAATCAGGTCAATACCTGTAATATTCCCATCCTCATATCTGAATCAAGCAGGAATATCTGGAGGAGTATCAACTGAACTGAGATCTGCTGCTGTGAAGATGGTGTTTGTTAAAGAGGAGAGTGAGGAGGACATGAGTGAACCAGAACCCTGGAGAATAAAACACGAGGAACAAGGAGGTTGGTGATTCTTCATTCATCTTACAGGACTCTCAAGTTTTAAAGACAGGCAAAAGTGACAAAGGTTTGACGTTATCTGTTTTACAGAAGTCTTCCTGCGGATTTCTATGGCGTTATTTTAATAACAAATGTCTTAAACGTATTGTGATTGTAACGCGAGAGCGCGTCGGTGCCAAATCGGTACTTTTAAAATGGTAGCAGAGCCTAAACGGTGCCTTAACCAATACTTTTAAAAAAGAGAGCCTCAAAACGATGGTTAATGACATTAAATAAGTAAAATAACGGCTTTTTTATTATTATGAAATGACTTGTTGCATTTTAAATGTCACTTCTTTTTGAGTCTCTCCATCATTGTCCGACTCCAGTTTAAATATAAAAGGCAGAACAATTATATCATTTTAATCATGATTCATATATGTTAGAAGTTCTAGTTTATCTAAGTCTCAAGCATAGTCTATAAGCCTGCAGTACAGGTGTTCGTTATGTAGACCTCGGTGTTCAAATAGAGGAAGAGTCTTGCCCCATGTTACACATTGAAAGGGCCTTTCTGGCTCCAAATGTATGTGTGGTAGAAAAGCCAGAAACTGACCACATGTGGACTTGTCATACAATGTATGTATATCTGTATTGGTTAGATCTGTAATTCTCACCTCATATTCATCCTATATTCTGAGACAAAGGATTAATAAAGCAAAGCTGTATTGGTTTCCCTCAGTGCTGGGTCATTGTTCATTCAAATATTGATTTCTAATGAGGAATGAGGCACCTGGAATCCTAATTTCTTACAATATGAATCGATTTTTTTTCCCTGCACCCCTACTAATTTCCTTTTATTTTCAATATTAACAATGAATTTATTTACATAATTTAACTGTTTTCATTTCAGGCCTGATGAAAGTGAAAGAGGAAAGACCAGATCTGAATGAAGTGGAGGAGAAACATCACCAGAAAGCTCATGATGTCACCGCTGGAGAGAAGCCATTGAGTTGCTCCAAAACTGAAAACAGTTGCTCACAAAGCAGCATCCAAATAACAAAAGTCAAAAAGCCTTTCACCTGTTCTCAGTGTGGAAAGACTTTCACACGTAAAGAAAACCTGAAGACTCACATGTTACTTCATGATGGAATAAAGCCTTTCAGCTGCTCTCACTGTGGAAAGAGTTTTACACAGAAAACACACCTAAATTATCATCTTTTAATTCACAATTTGGAAAAGCCTTTCACCTGTTCTCTGTGTGGAAACTCTTTCAGACATAAAGGATACCTTAAGACTCACATGTTAATTCATGATGGAATAAAGCCTTTCACCTGCTCTCACTGTGGACAAAGTTTTACACAGAAAGGACACCTTAATGATCATCTGTTAATTCACACTTCAGAAAAGCCTTTCGCATGCTCTCTGTGTGGAAACACTTTCAGACATAAAGGATACCTTAAAACTCACATGAGAATTCATGATGGAATAAGGCCTTTCACCTGCTCTCAATGTGGAAAGAGTTTTACACAGAAAACACACCTAAATGAGCATTTGTTAATTCACAATTCAGAAAAGCCTTTCGTCTGTTCTCAGTGTGGAAACTCTTTCACGCGTAAAGGAAGCCTTAAGAATCACATGTTAATTCATGCTGGAATAAAACCTTTCGTCTGCTCCCAGTGTGGGAAGTGTTTTACAGATAAAGTACACCTTACTAATCATTTGGTAACTCACACTAAAGAAAAGCCTTACATCTGCTCTCAGTGTGGAAACTCTTTCACACGTAAAGCAAACCTTAAGAATCACATGTTAATTCATACTCGAAAAAGCCCTTTACCTGCTCTCAGCGTGGAAAGACATGAGAAATCACACTGAAGCAATGCCTTACACATGTGTTAGGAAAAATATGTTTGCATCTCCTTTTCTGTCCATCTAATCATTTCTTCTACAGCGTTTAGTCACACACTCGTGAGACATGAGCTAGTAATTATCCATAAGGAGTGTAAATATCTGACCAGTGGTCTCCAAAGACAAAGGACCTTGCTTGCAAATTAACATTTGAACTCTCACCCCCACTCTTACAGAGATAACTCAAAATATAAGAATATATATATATGATTTTAATTTGAATGATTATCATTAAGGATTGTGTTTAGAATCATTTTAAAGGTCTCAGGGGTGAACAGTAACTTTCCACTGTAAACTGATGGTTTACATATCAAATAGGGTCTGGCTAATATATAAGGAAATGCAACAGGAGAATTTGGGGCTGTTGTCTGTATTCATATTATGATTCTCCCTCATTTCATATCCAATTTTATCTAATAATTTTGGGGTGCTTGTCTGTAATCGATCCAGAACCGAGAGATCATGTAAATTGGACAGAGACTGTATGAGGACAAAAACTGTTGTATTGCTTAGACTCACAAATTTGATGTAATACTCGAGATGGAGAACATTTCTGAATTTTGAATCATTGAATAAACTGCAGTTTTATTATTTCTTGTAATCTGTACTAATTGGCTAGCCTGGTTAAAACCAGACCATTTTCAGTTGTTTCCGAGTTATGGTTTGGCAAAGCGTCATAGACAAATCATTTCCAGAGGGGCATCACCAACGGATGTCGCGGATAGACCGTCAACCAATCAGAGCGAAGAAGGAGATGACGTATGCAGAGTGGCGGCGGAACATCAAAGAGGAATTGTCGTTAATGAAAGAGTAAGACTGTAACCATCTAAGTTTAATAACCCCATTCATAATATCAAAGTCAATCGTTTTGGGACCACCATGCATCTTCATAATCTACAATCATATCACTTTTACATGACTCTTCATTCTCCATATAAACGCTTTAGTTGTTAATTTACTTTATCTTTTTGTAGAAATTAAGAGAAACATGGATAGATGAATCTAGATTCTCTACTATCGTCAATAAAATTCTTCTAAAAATCGTTACGTCTCTCTGTAGCAAAGTATTCATTATTCATTTACATTTTTTACAAAGTTTTATCAATATCTAAATGTTCTAAATTATCCATCATCTTAGATAACCAGATACCTAAATTAGAGCCAGACCGATATATGGGCCGGCCGGTATTAGGCATTTTCCAAAATATCGGTATTGGCAGTAATGGCCGATAAATGAATATTTAAAAAATAAATTAAAAATGGACGAAACATGCTTTAATCATCTCTTCTTGGCCTGTTATATTGAAAATGTATGTTTTACAATTTGCAGTATGATGTTATCTATTGCTAAATTATGGGTCATCATAGACTAGCTAACCACAAAGCTAGCTACTATCATCAGTGGAAGACCGCTAACGTTAACATTAATGAGCTTGGAAACCAAATTAAGTAAGTAAATAAAACTAAATAAAGTAATGATTACTGTATTTATAACTAGCATATCTCTAGTTACAGTCCCTGCATTGTAAAATGTAAGTTAGACTTGCGAGGAGTGAACATTTAGACATAGAGAAAAAGTAGCTATCAAATGTAGCTATCTTGTGCAGAAAAGTTAGCTTTTCTCATACGTGTGTGAAATCCAACAATATTTAATAAAAAAAAAATATCGGCCGATATATCGGAATATCGGATTTTAAAACCCAAAAATATTTGTATCGGTATCGGCCTTCAAAATCCTTTATCGGTCGGGCTCTAACCTAAATATTTAACTATATCAATCATATCTACACCACAACTTGAGGTATGTGTATTAGGCATTGGAGGTGGAATAACATAAAACAAACTGAAATGTGAGCAACTTGACTACTCAGTCCGCCATCTTGGCGGAACTCGGTCTGCAAACATACTTGTATTTTTTTCCTCCTTTTGACAATTCACACTCCAGTCCAGTCGGTGGCGGTAAGACACACACTATTGTTTAGCAACCACCATTAAACCTCAGAGGAAGAAGATTAGTTTCAGTGTGCTCTCTGAAGTTATGTCGAGGTGCTGGCTGAATACGAACTGTTAAAAAGATATTTTATTTTTTAAATCAGGTCAATAAATGTCTGTAATATTCACATCCTCATAGACGTGACTAAGTTCTATCAAGCAGGAATATCTGGAGGAGTATCAACTGAACTGAGATCTGCTGCTGTGAAGATGGTGTTTGTTAAAGAGGAGAGTGAGGAGGACATGAGTGAACCAGAACCCTGGAGAATAAAACACGAGGAACAAGGAGGTTGGTGTCTATTATTCATTCATTTTTTGACTGTTATGATAGGCCTACATTAAGTTTTAAATTCCTTAATGTTAAAAACGAATCCTAAATTGCCATTAAAAAGTCTTAAATCCACGTGTCAAAGGTCTAAAAATGCAACTGAACTGGCAGCGATACGATTTTATTGTCGGACACTTCGGAACTCGAAGTGTGTCGGACTCGGACTCATACAGATTCACTTTTGTTTTTATGTTAGAGTAATCCATTTGTGTTCGAAAAGTTTTTCCTAGTTTACAGAAGTCGTCCTGCCAAATTATATGGCGTTATTTTAACGTCAAATGTCGCTTTGTGATTGTAACGCAGATGGCACTAAACAGTGCTCGCACTAGAAATACATTTTCTTTACGTCTGGATGAAACGTTATGGAAGAAAAGTAATGACAAATGTGTTTGAAACAACAACAAAAATTGCATTAACTAGGCTGCTAGCGATATATTGCATTGTATTTTTGGGGCTTGCTTTTTTATGGGCTGAAATTCAACATGGTTTTATTTAAGCTGTTTACTTACATTTAAAAATCCATATTCACCTTTTAGACTTCATTTCTTAAGTATTAATTCTGTGTAAAAAATATAACCTTATTCGGCAGGCAATTTTCTGTCCATTTTATTTCACTTTACAAATTTGCTTCCACAAATTCAGTGGTTCAAATTTGACAGAAAATGCGACATAGCACATTGTGTCACTACAGGATTTTTAATATACTTGAATATACAAAGAAATGCGGTCAGGGCTTGACTCAAGGAGTTCAGTGAAGTTGGCAATATTCACTTAGGCTATTTGAAGTTCCCAGATATCTCTGAGCTAAATGTTGTTAAATCACAAACGACACTTATTTATAATCACAGTAAGGAGCCACAACCCAATTTTCCTCAAAACAAGCTTAATAATATAAATGTGTCTCTGAACAGCCCACTGAGAGACAAGTCTGAATAAAGGGCTGTCTGCAAAGTGCAAATCCCAAACCCTTCTGCACATTTTATTATTAAACATATTCAATAGCTTCATTGTGACATGCTGTACTGTCATCAAATTCAGTTCACTCATCACTTCTCTCCTGCTGGTTATACTACAATACTTAGTTTGAAAGATATCCATTATTTTTATGATTTTTTTATTATGAAACAACATCAACAACATTACCCTTTAAAAAAAATCAATAACTTCACACTGTTATATAGTGTAATGCCATCAAATTCAGTATGCAAATTTAAGGCAAAAGCTATGGTTGTAACTAGAAGATTTGTTGATTTTGATGAACGAGTTAAAACAGGAGAGTCACAGACATTTATTTTCCAATTGTACCAATTGATTTTCATAATTTTTATGTTTTAATTTTAGGCCTGATGAAAGTGAAAGAGGAAAGACCAGATCTGAATGAAGTGGAGGAGAAACATCATCAGAAAGTTCATGATGTCACCGCTGGAGAGAAGCCATTGAGTTGCTCCAAAACTGAAAACAGTTGTTCACAAAGCAGCATCCAAATAACAGAAGTCAAAAAGCCTATCACCTGTTCTCAGTGTGGAAAGACTTTCTCACGTAAAGAAAACCTTAAGACGCACATGATAATTCATGATGGAATAAAGCCTTTCAGCTGCTCTCAGTGTGGAAAAAGTTTTACACAGAAAGGAAACCTTAAAACTCACATGTTAATTCATGCTGGAATAAAATCTTTCTCCTGCTCTCACTGTGGACAAAGTGTTACACATAAAGGACACCTTAATGATCATCTGTTAATTCACACTTCAGAAAAGCCTTTCACCTGTTCTCAGTGTGGAAACACTTTCAGATGTAAGAGATACCTTAAAACTCACATGAGAATTCACACTGGAATAAGGCCTTTCACCTGCTCTCACTGTGGCAAGAGTTTTACACAGAAAGTTCACCTACATGAGCATGAGTTAATTCACACTTTAGGAAAGCCTTTCGTCTGCTCTCAGTGTGGAAACTCTTTCACACGTAAATCAAGCCTTAAGAATCACATGTTAATTCATACTCGAAAAAGCCCTTTACCTGCTCTCAGCGTGGAAAGACATGAGAAATCACACTGAAGCAATGGCTTACACATGTGTTAGGAAAAATATGTTTGCATCTCCTTTTCTGTCCATCTAATCATTTCTTCTACAGCGTTTAGTCACACACTCGTAAGACATGTGATAGTTATTATATATAAGGCGTAAGGTTGCATTTGGTATATGAAGGAATTGTTTGTCTCAACTCTTTCAGTGAAGTTGGCAGTCTCGTTTCTTTTCTATATGGACTTATTATTTTATTGGTTGTTTTTAGTCAACACCTGAGACTTGCTGAATAAACTATGGCATGAGCACAATAAAGCTGACTTTGAGTCTGCACTTCTTGTTTGTGTCATTGTTGGTTCTTTGGGCACTCATCCGTGATCGGTCCAGAACCAAGGGATTGTGTCAATTGTACAGAGATTGTATGAGGACAAAAACTGTTGTATTGCTGAGACTCACACACAGTCTCATTTGACGTAATACTCGAGATGGAGAATATTTCTGAATTTGCAATATTTACTTTAAATATTAGATAAGTATTAGTATTAATTTTTAAGAGTTCATTCTATAGGTATGCATGTTTGAAATGTGTGCAAGCATGCAGTCCTTACTTAAAAAAAAAACAACCCTCAACAAACCACTTGTCTGGCCTTAAAATTTATAATACAGAATTGCATCGCTTCGTGAACTGGAATTATCCTGACGACAATTATCTACAGAGGTGAAGGAAAGGAGGATTCACAGGGAGGGACTAGTGACGCTTCAGGATTGCGTTATCGTCGTGTCCAGGCGCAGGTCCTTCATACCTCGGGATAAACAAAGAGACTAATATTAGTGTAGATGCCATTCTTCTTATGATGTTACGAGTACATCAGGATTTATGGGATGGGAAGTGTTCCCGGATCTAAACTATACAGCCTAACATTGAATTATAGACGTTTATAATGTTTTATAGGTAAGCTAGGTCAAAGAGATGTGTTTATAGTTTATTAGTTCTGTTGAGATTGATAAATATTGTGCTCTCATTTATATTTGATTTGTTTATTTTATTTTGGAACAAAGCAATCATGTTGCATAGTGTATGTCATGTGACCCTTTAGTGATTGATTGGATGCACATGTGTCTGTTTAAATAAACTGCGCCAGTCAGAAAGAAACTGGTTGATGTGAAAGTATTACCCTGTTGTCTGCCTAAGTTACTCTGCTAACAGGTTATGGGCCCAGGATACGGGTGTTAAGTCGCTGGGTAAAAGTCGCAACGAAAAACGCGTGTACCCGAGTTTAAGTTTGTGAGACATGGAGCTACAAATATGAGCAGAAAGACAAAAGCAGCGGTGTCCACGAGCCGCTGGTCAAGGCTTGTTTTTGACGGAGATGAGAAGAATTATGAGCTATGGGAGACGAAATTTTTGGGTCATCTTTGTTTGCAGGGACTAAAAGAGACTATTTTAAATGAACCTTCTGAAGAAGATGAGGAAGACGAGACGAAAAACGCCGAAGCCTATGCTGAGCTGATACAGTTCCTGGATGACAAAAGCCTGTCGCTGGTCATGCGAGAAGCTGCAGATGACGGACGTGCGGCGCTGGAGATTCTACGTGGATATTATGCTGGAAAAGGGAAGCCCCGGGTAATAAGCTTGTATACAGAGCTAACTTCACTGCAAAAATTGCCGAGTGAGAGTGTTACGGAATATGTCATCAGAGCTGAGACTACAATCACTGCTTTGAGAAATGCAGATGAGAATCTGAGTGACGAACTTTTGATTGCAATGATTTTGAAAGGACTTCCAGAGACATTTAAACCATTTACTATCCATGTTACTCAGAGTGATGTTAAAATGACTTTTGCCGAATTTAAAACAAAACTTCGAAGTTATGAGGATATTGAAAATATGCGGGCAACTACTTCCGCGGACAACGTAATGAAGGCAAGAGCACAGCTTGGAACGAAAGCTACTTTTGATGATTGTGCGGCTGCAAGTAGGCCTACTGACATTATCTGTTACCGGTGTGGCACAAAAGGCCATAAAGCAAGCACATGCAGACGTAAACAGTGGTGCCGTCATTGTAAAAGTACCACTCACCGTGATGCAACCTGCCGACGGAGAAAACCGCAGGACGACGCAAGGAAAGTGTCGGAGGAGCCGGGTGACAAGGAATATGTTTTTCGAGCAAGCGACGCTGAGATGTGGAGGCATGAGAAGGAAAAAAGAGGCCTAATGGTGGATGCAGGTGCAACTTCACACATCATCACAGACATCGCAAAGTTTCGAAGGTTTGATAGCAGTTTCCAAGCCGACACACACTGCGTGGAATTGGCTGACGGTACGAGGTGCAACGGAGTCGCTAAGAGCAGAGGGGACGCAGCAGTATGTTTAGTGGACAACACTGGACGACGTTTCAAAGCAACGCTAAGGAACGCGCTGTACATCCCTACTTACCCACAGGACATCTTCTCTGTAAAAGCAGCCACTTCGAACGGAGCAACCGTGATCTTCAGAGAGGGGAAGAACGTTCTGCTACATAAAGACGGTACTGAATTTCCCATACACGTGCACAATAAACTGTACTATTTGCACACAATAGACAATGAGTGTGATGACAAATGTGGGAAATGTTATGATTTGCAGACATGGCATGAGATATTAGGTCATTGCAACTATGGAGATGTAATTAAGCTCGAGAATGTTGTGAGCGGTATGCAGATTGTGAATAGAGCAGACAAACTCACCCCACCGTGTGAGATTTGCATTCAGGGCAAGTTTATTGAGACTAGGAATCGAGAACCTGATGCTAGAGCCAAAACCGCTTTAGAAATGGTACACACTGATCTAGCAGGACCTATAGATCCAATGTCTAAAGATGGACATAAATATGCATTATCTTTCACAGATGATTATTCTAGTGCTATTTTTGTATACTTCTTGAGAAACAAGAGTGACACAACAACCGCTACAGAGAAATTCCTTGCGGATATAGCACCATATGGGAGAGTTAAGTGTATCAGATCTGATAATGGGACAGAGTTCACAGGAAAGGAGTACCAAGCATTATTGAGTAGAAATAGTATTAGGCATGAGACCTCTGCACCATACTCTCCGCACCAGAATGGCACTGCGGAACGAAACTGGAGAACTTTATTTGACATGGCTAGATGCATGCTAATAGAAAGTGGGTTACCAAAAACTTTGTGGACCTATGCAGTCCAGACTGCGGCTGTAGTGAGAAACCGATGTTTTAATAACCGAACGAAACAGACAGCTTACTTCATGTTAACAGGCAAGCAACCGAACATTTCAAGAATGCAGAAATTTGGTGTTTCGTGTTATGCTTATCAACATGAGAAAAGTAAACTGAACTCGAGATGTGAGAAGGGCATTTTTGTGGGATATGACAAGAATAGTCCGGCATACATGATCTACTATCCTGATAGTGTTACAGAAGCGCAGACTAGTTAGGTTTTTACCCAGAGTGAGTGCTGAAGCGGACGAGATACCGATTGATGATGATGATTTTGACGATTTTGGGGTTCGGAATAAGCTTAGAGAACCGAAAAGAGAAGATCCTGAAATTGATACTCAGGAACCGGTAGAAAAAGAGCCAGAAATATGCGAAAACCAAACACAAACAGATAAACCTGAAAAAAGGAGAAATCCTGCCAGAGAGAGGAAACGGCCAGGTTATTTAAGTGATTATTTTTGTAGTTTTGATGGAGACGAAGCTGACATTGATTATTGTTACAGACTTGTATGTAATGTACCCCAGACATACAAAGAGGCAGTAACATCAGAGAATGCAAAAGAATGGGTTAAGGCCATGAGTGAGGAGATGAAGTCACTAAAAGAAAGTGTAACTTTTACCCTAACCAGTCTACCTGAAGGTAAAGAATTAGTGGGGGGTAAATGGGTCTATGCTATTAAGAAAAATAGTGATGGAACGGACAAGTACAAAGCACGATATGTTGCCAAAGGTTACAGTCAAGAGAGAGGTGTAAACTATGATGAGACTTTTTCTCCAACTGCCAGTATGACAAGCATCAGAGTTTTGTTACAGAAGGCAGTACAGGACAATTTGATTGTTCATCAAATGGATGTGACCACTGCATATTTACATGCGCCAATAGAGTGTGAGATTTATATGAACCAGCCAGAGGGTTACGAGATAAAATCTCAAGGTAATAAGAAACTGGTGTATAAATTGAAAAAATCACTGTATGGACTCAAACAGTCGGGCAGAAACTGGAACCAAATGTTGCATCAGTATCTGTGTGAGATGAAGTTTGTTCAAAACCCAGCCGATCATTGTGTTTACACAAAAGTTACAGAGACTGAGAAAGTTTTTATAATCATATGGGTTGATGACTTGATTATTGCTGCCAACAATGTGTATGTGCTTAATCATGTAAAAGAGACACTCAAGGCAAAATTTAAAATGAAGGACTTGGGAAAATTAACACATTTCCTTGGTATTGATTACGAGCAAGATTGTGATTGTGTTAAGATGTCACAACATAAATATGTTGATAAAATACTTGAGAGATTTGACATGCAAAATTGTAAGTCCAGAGGAACTCCTTGTGAACAGAAATTAAACTACACTGATGATGCTGAGAATCTGAGTGATGTTAGAAAATACAGAGAGGTAGTAGGTAGTTTAATCTATCTGGCAACATGCACAAGACCAGACTTAAGTTTTGTAGTGAGCAAACTATCACAGTATTTTACAAGACCTACCACAGAACAGTGGAACACTGTCAAGCATGTTTTGAGATATTTAAAAGGGACCAAAGACAAAGAACTATGTTACAAAAAGGGTGAAAATGATAACCTGATTCATGCATATAGTGATGCGAATTGGGCAACTGATGTAACCGATAGACGAAGCACTACAGGTTACTGTGTTAGCCTAAATAAAAATGGTCCACTGGTCTCATGGAAGACCAAAAGACAGCCAACTGTTGCACTGTCGACTTGTGAAGCAGAGTATATGGCTTTAGCTGCAACTGTCCAGGAGTGTTTATTTCTACAGCAATTGTTAGAAAACATTGATGGTAAGAAATATGAATCGAGAGTGTATGAGGACAATCAGGGTGCCATTGCTTTAGCAAAAAATCCTGTGTATAGACAACGATGTAAACACGTGGACGTTAAATTTCATTTTGTGAGATCTGTAATCAAGGAAGGCAGAATTAATTTGGAATACTGTCCAACGGATGATATGGTTGCGGATGTGCTAACAAAACCAGCAACAAAGTTCAAGTTAATGAAATTTAACTCCTTTATGTTTGGTGTATAAAATTTGTACTTGTATTGAAATGATGAAATGGAAATAAGAGAAATAGAAATGTGAGAGCAAGTGGGGGTGTTGAGATTGATAAATATTGTGCTCTCATTTATATTTGATTTGTTTATTTTATTTTGGAACAAAGCAATCATGTTGCATAGTGTATGTCATGTGACCCTTTAGTGATTGATTGGATGCACATGTGTCTGTTTAAATAAACTGCGCCAGTCAGAAAGAAACTGGTTGATGTGAAAGTATTACCCTGTTGTCTGCCTAAGTTACTCTGCTAACAAGTTCGTTTAGATTATGAATTTTGGCTGACGAATAATTGTCTAAAATATTTTTAGGGTTTTGACGATTAATTGTCCGTTTTAGGGGTTTGACGACTATGCCGATCGATTGTCTATTTGTGTGTGTGTGTGTGTGTGTTACCACCACAGTAAAATTCTCATTCCCTCAAAAACCATAGTTGGAGATGGTTTGAGCATTTGTTTAAAACTTTAATAGTCTATAGAGTGTGTTAAATACAGTTTACCAAAAAAGTATCCCAATTTTGCTGACTTTGCCTCTATTTAAATGTTGTAATGTCAGTCATTCTGCAAAATGTGTTTTCCCTGAAATATTTGATTGGAATGAAATTTGGAAACTCGTTTCTCTCACTTAAGCCTATTTAACATTTCTAATGCCAGTGTGGGCTATATCTTTTTTTTTAAAGTATTTTTCATTTATTTGTCGTCCACGCATCAAGTCATTTCTTCCCCGTATTGTTTTCTCCTCCTGACCTTCTCGCGACGCTTCACACTCCAGTCCAGTCGGTGGCGGTAAGACACACACGTTTGTTTACAAACCACCATTAAACCTCAGAGGAAGAACTTTAATTTTCAGCGTGGGCTCTTCTGTTGTGTGGTAACGTTACTGGCTTAATACAAACTATTACAAAGAAAAGATAGAACGATATACTTTTAAACAGGTCAATAAATGTCTAATATTCCCATCCTCATATACACGGACTAAGTTTTGAAGCAGGAATATCTGGAGGAGTATCAACTGAACTGAGATCTGCTGCTGTGAAGATGGTGTTTGTTAAAGAGGAGAGTGAGGAGGACATGAGTGAACCAGAACCCTGGAGAATAAAACACGAGGAACAAAGAGGTCGGTGGTCCCATATGCCCATTTACAAAGTTTTGTTTTTGTTTTTTGGATGTACGAATATGTTTCCAAGCCGCATTCACGGACTATTCAAGCACTTCTTTCATAGGACGTTTAGTGTGTTTTTTATTTTCTAATGTTTATGTTATACACCATATAATCGTGATTATAAAAATCCAAACAGTAATCGATACCTTTTTTGCTTATTCCTTGGGCTCGGATTATCCAATCTAGTTGTAGTTGTTAAATAAAATATCTCCCTTTGGAGTGGACAGAATTTTTTTTGTTATGCTCAAACAGCAACATTATAGACTGACTAAAGTTAAAAAATCGTAAAAGGACCCTGCTGAAAAAAAAAAAAAACAACCCCAATAGAAACCATTACAGAATTCCTAATGGTTTTGATGGTTATAAAGGGAAATGTATTGGTTTTAATGGAAACTGTAATGGTCCTAAGTAGGTCTCTATTGGTAATTTGCTTTCTTCTATTGGTGGCATGTTTTGTCTTTTTCTCTGTATTGGATTTAATTTAAACTGTGATGGTCCTGTAAGTCTCAATTGGTAATTTGCTCTCTTCTATTGGTGGTATATGTTTTCTATTGGATACCATTAAGGACCAATAGAACAACTTTGAAAATTTTAGGTTACATGTTGGTATCTATTGGACACCATTATGAACCATTAGGACTGCAATAAATAGTGTTTCCTTTGGTTTGATAATAATGATTAAATGTAGGCTACACATGATTAATAGGCTAGATACAGTTTTTAAAAGCTGGTCATAGTGATTGGTCAAAACATTGGTCCCATGTGATTTCAGGTTTAACAGCTCTTGTTGGGAGTGATCAGGTCAAAACCTGACCCACACACATGGGTTGTCCTAACCATTAAATATATTCAAATCATGACAATACAAATTTGTAATGGAAACCATTAAATATGTTCAAATCATGACCAATACAAATTTGTAATGGAAACCATTACAAATCAGAACCAATACAAACTGTAATGGAAACCATTAAATATATCATCACCAATACAAATTTGTAATGGAAACCTATACAAACCAATACATCCTAATAGAATATGGCCCAAAACACACTACGTAATGGACACCATTTTGTAATGGTTTGTAATGGTTTTGTAGTGGAAACCATTACCATTTCTGTAATGGTTTCCATTGTTTTTTTTCAGCAGGGGACCCATTAGCTGTGGTATTGAAATTGAAATCGAGAATTAATAAGTTTCACTGTTATCTAAAATTTGGGGTGTCATAATAATTTATTACAGTACAAGGATACATGTGTAAAAAAAACAATAACTGTTTTATTCATTTTTTTCTTTCTTTGTGGTGGGGCCAGTCAAAATAGAAAAATTGAAATCAGCATATACTTAAAGTCGGCATGAAATCAAATTTGACAAATCTTCTTTGTATATGTAATATTGTAGTGTTTATTATAAATGATTTATCTGTGCACTTCATTATTTAAAAAAAAAAAAAATAATGTACCCTTATACTCTTTAATCAAATACATTACCCTGCCCTCCCCCATCGAAACGACCTCTCTTCTATTTCGGTCACGTGGAATGGCGAGATCCGATGAGGGTGCGGCTATCGGTGAACCGCCTCTCAGAGAATCGCATTCAAATCATTCAAATCTGGCTCCGTTTTGTTTGCAACGGCCAACCTCCAGCCGTTTCACTCGGATATACGTCACGACAAGGAAAAAATGACAATCTGTCCATTTCACACCGACTTTAAATCAAATCGAGAATCGATTGAAATTGATATCTTGTGGCCTGAGTTGAACAGTCAATAGTGTCAAATGCAGTACTAAGATCGATTAACACTTATAGAGATACAACCACGATCGGATGATAAGAGCAAATCATTTGTGCCTCTAATGAGAGCTGTCTCAGTACTATGGTATGGTCTAAATCCTGAAAATAATCAAATAAATAAGTAAATTGAAAATCCTTCCAGATATTATTTCTTTCTAAAAAGGACCATAGTTGTGAAGATACTGCCTTTTTTTAGTATCTTTGACAGAAAAGGCGGCCTGTAATTGACTAATTCTGTAGGATCATAGGATCATAATTCTTATTATGTGTTCCTACAATTCATATGTTGATGTATTCTGCTTATATCACATATTAATCATGTAATAGTTATTAACTATTGTGATTGTTTATAACTCTAGAGTGTGAATGCCTCGTTTCCAATCAAAAGAATCGTATTAATTCAAAAGATGGCTTGATTGAAATCTGTGTAAAATGTTTTGTATTCCTTTAAATCTATAATATTCAAAATGTGGTCTCTTGTAAAGCGAGAAGTTCACAGGTCATGCCTAATGGGCTCTATGCACGGCGTTATTTCCGGTGAAGCATTAGGGATGCTCGATAACTTCCGCCGATCATAGAGTCCAATGCAATACCGAGAATTTATATTGAATTTTATACTCCATGGTTATACTAATGAAACGTTAGTCACAAAAACAGATAAAACAGACACCCCTCGTTGTGTTTATGCTTCTTTTAAAAATTATATTAAATAAACATAACTATATATAGAATTACATCTAAACGTATGTACGTTTCGTTTCAAAGACGGGAGGACAGTAAATATTGAAGACTCTGCCATAATCCCGTTTTCTCCGGTTTTCCTCCGCTTTAATCTACACAACCGGAAATGGACGAGCATCCTTACGTCAAATGCGGAACTTATGCGTGCATATAGCCCATTTATGATCAGCAAGAAGTCAGATCCACCCCCTAAAATTATACCATTGTCCCATTGGCTAAAAGTGTCTGGGAGGTTGGACTGAGTTTTAAGTTAAAGATCCGAACAAACGGACCCGGCTGGGAAACCCCCTTTGACTCAACGACAAGCAAGTACTCCAGACTCTAGCTGAACTGGTGCTTTAATGTAAATTGAATAACCTCTCTAAGAAACAAAGGTTCAAATTAATGCTTGGTGGTCCTTTCAGGTCTTGTCTTACGTGCATATAGAAAGTTGAAACTTTCTCTCTCCCTCTTTCCAACTCTCTTTTCCTCTGCGCCTTGTATGTGATCGTCCTCTTACAGCGAACACACTGCTGAAGTTTCATCAAGATCAGTTAATGTATGCTGAAGTTATAACAAACTTCCTGTTTCATGTTTCTCGCCATGATTTCGTTTCCTCGCCACGGCCAAACCGTTCGAGATATCTAAAATCCCCTCGCACACTTTCATCTTCAATGTCTTGACTTCACACTGACCGAGTTTCGTCGAATTTGGATCAAAGCTCTAGGAGGAGTATTACACATTCCATTGCGTGCATTTTAAAAACAACCACAAATATCTGACTTCCTGTTGGGCTGGGGTAAAAAGTAAGAGTGTGAGGTATAGATGAAACCATGAGATCAACATGTGTACTGAGTTTCATATTATTACATACAAGCGTGTTTGAGTTATGGACCAAGTGTTCGGACCCCGTTCCAGGGGGCGCTGACGAGTCGCCCTGCCACGCCCAGGTACCAGCTTCAGCCCGACTCTGATGGCCGCGGGTTCTGACCTGTGTGCAAAGTTTCAAGAGTTTTCGAGCATATTAAGGGCTCCAAAAGTGCCAAAAAGGTTACGGAATAATAATAATAAATATAGCTGCAAGCAGAGATTGCGGGCCCAAGCCGGTGGCACCACAAACCCCGGTGCCTTTAGTTACCTAAAGGCACCGGGGTGGCGGTACCGCTGCCTTTGGCCCTTCATCGTTGCTCGCAGCTATATTTATATAATATATATATATATATATATATATATATATATATATATGAAGAGTTCAGATGCAAAAGCCTCTAAGTGCCATTTGAAATTTTCTTCTAAAATGATCATTTTTATCAAGCTTGTATATTTAAGTTCGGTAATTTCACTTAAATGGCAATGAAGATTACCTATTAATTGTCATTTAAGTGAAATTACTGAACTTAAATATACAAGCTTGATAAAAATGGTCATTTTAGAAGAAAATTTCAAATGGCATTTAGAGGCTTTTGCATCTGAACTCTTCATATATACAGTGTTGGGGAGTAGTTAACTACAAGTAGCGACGCTACTAACTTAACTACATTTTTCAGTAGCTTGGCTGTAGCTCAGTTGCTTTTTAAACAGTGTAGCTTTTCCAGTAGCTAACTACTTTTTGCAGCAAGTAGCGGTGTAGCGCGAGCAAAAGCTACATTGCGTTTGTCGAGCCTGCGCGAATCGACACGATGCAAGGATATTCTTCTTCTCGTTAGATTACAAACTCATTTTTTTTGCCATTACCGCCACCTGTTGTTTAATCACGCGTCTTGCGGCTAACGGTTCACTGACGTAAATAAGTGGGTTGACAGTGACACACCCATATTATGATTATGATGGAGCCAGAGGTGACGGCAGATTTGGATGATGGAGAAACAACTAAAGTTAATTACCCATGGCCTTATTTGTCTAAGTTCAATCGGTATTTTTGAGAAAATGTTCTAAATGCAATTTATGTTGAATGTATATTTTGTTCTTGCAATGTTGTAGGCTATTTGTTGCAATTTTGCACTTTTGACAAACAGTCTGCAATATTTGATTGTTGTGTGTAATAAAACAATACTCTATGAAATCATAATTGTATTGCATTGTTTTAAATACTAAATATTTTAATTAAAACATTCATCAGACACTTATTCATTTATTTATAATATATTATTTATAGCATGTTATAATAATAATATGTAATATAATATTTATAATATGTTGTTAAAAAAGCAAAAGTAGTTTCAACGTAGCTAGCTACTTTTTGATAGTAACTTGTAGTGTAGCTAGCTACTTTTCCAAAAGGGTAACTTGACTGTAGTTTAACTACTTTAACGTACGAGTAGCTTGTAGCTTGTCAAACTACAGTTTCAGAGTAGCTTCCCCAACACTGCATATATATATATATATATATATATATATATATATATATATATATATAGCCGGTGGCACTGCCACCCTGGTGTGTGTGTGATTATGTTTAGACCTTAGTTTTGTGTTTAGAATAGCTAATAAATTCTTGTCCATATATTTGAAAAGATAATTTGCCTTGTGTTGTGTTTGCACATTTAATGTCTTGTACTGCTCGATCTAAAGTTACCTTGCTAAAACATAGTGTGTCACTATAGATTTGGTATTTATATCCTTGCAAAGGTTATAATTACGGCCCGTTCAAATGAACTTTAAACGAGTCGTTTGCTCGGTTCCGTTAGTGATTCGTCAAGATTCATTGTAAATCAATGAATTATCCCCTTTGAGCTAAATTGGCCTTTCCGTCCCCCTTAAATACACTTTACGTATATTATTAAATGTTGCATTTGCTACAACGCCGTTGACTTAACGTTATATAAATATACGACTTACCTCAACCCCATCCCTAAACTTAACCGTCACTGGGGTTAATGGCATTTATGACTGGAGATTTGACTGCGTGTACAGACACGCGGAATGACGCGGACGTTAATGGCGTAGACATACGTGGCACACATACAGGCAGGTACAAGTGGATAGCTGAAAATGCGTCGAGATAACACGCCACTTGACTCGAAAGTGGCGTGTATGTTTATGCAAAAGTCATGATGTCATGTTGTTATTTTACTGTTTTAATTTTAGGGCTGGTGAAAGTGAAAGAGGAAAGACCAGATCTGAATGAAGTGGAGGAGAAACATCACCAGAAAGTTCATGATGTCACCGCTGGAGAGAAACCATTGAGTTGCTCCAAAACTGAAAACAGTTGCTCACAAAGCAGCATCCAAATAACAGAAGAGAAAAAGCCTTTCTCCTGTACTCAGTGTGGAAACACTTACAAACATAAAAGAAGCCTTTTGAATCACATGTTAGTTCATGCTGGAATAAAGCCTTTCTCCTGCTCTCAGTGTGGCAAGAGTTACAAACATAAAAGCAGCCTTTGGAATCACACGTTAATTCATGCTGGACGAAAAAATTCCTTCACATGTTCTCAGTGTGGAAATACTTTCACAAATAAACACAACCTTAAGAAGCACATGTTAATTCATGCTGGAATAAAGCCTTTCAGCTGCTCTCAGTGTGGGAAACGTTTTAGACAGAAAGGAACACTAAATGAGCATTTGGTAACTCACTCTTCAGTAAAGCCTTTCTCCTGCTCTCAGTGTGGAAACAGTTTCAGACATAAAAGATACCTTAAAACTCACATGTTAATTCATGCTGGAATAAAGCCTTTCACCTGCTCTCAGTGTGGGAAGAGATTTACACATAAAGGAAGACTAAATGAGCATTTGGTAACTCACACTTCAGAAAAGCCTTTCACATGTCTTCAGTGTGGAAAGAGTTTCTCACGTAAACAAGTCCTTAAGACTCACATGTTAACTCATGCTGAAATAAAGCCTTTCACCTGCTCTCACTGTGGCAAGAGTTTCACACAGAAAGGACACTTTAATGAGCATATGTTAATTCACAATTTCGTAAAGCCTTTCGTCTGCTCTCAGTGTGGAAACTCTTTCAGACATAAAGTAGGCCTTAAGAAACATATTAATTCGTACTTTAAAAAGCCCTTTACCTGCTCTCAGCGTGGAAAGACATGAGAAATCACACTGAAGCAATGCCTTACACATGTGTTGGGATAAATATGTTTACATCTCCTTTTCTGTCTATCTGACCGTTCAGTCACACACTCGTGAGACATGTGATAGTTATTATATATAAGGTGTAAGGTTGCATTTGGTATATGACTGGAATTGTTTGTCTCTCTATGAACTCTTTCAGTGAAGTTGGCAGTCTCGTTTCTTTTCTATATGGACTTATTATTTTATTTGTTGTTTTTAGTCAACACCTGAGACTTGCTGAATAAACTATGGCATGAGCACAATAAAGCTGACTTTGAGTCTGCACTTCTTGTTTGTGTCATTGTTGGTTCTCAGATAACTCTGCTCTGCACTGATCATTGTCTATGTTCTGATATCAAATTTAATCTAATATTTTGGGGTGCTTGTCTGTAATCGATCCAGAACCGCGGGATTGTGTCAATTGTACACAGACTGTATGAGGACAAAAACTGTTGTATTGCTGAGACTCACACACAGTCTCGTTTGACGTTATACTCGAGATGGAGATAATTTAGAATTTGTAATATTTACTTTAAATATTAGATAAGTATTAGTATTAATTATTAAGAGTTCATTCTATAGGTATGCATGTTTGAAATGTGTGCAAGCATGTAGTCCTTCCCTAAAAAAACAACCCTCAACAAACCACTTGTCTGGCCTTAAAATTTATAATACAGAATTGTATCGCTTCGTGAACTGGAATTATCCTGACGACAATTATCTACAGATGTGAAGGAAAGGAGGATTCACAGGGAGGGACTAGTGACGCTTCAGGATTGCGTTATCGTCGTGTCCAGGCGCAGGTCCTTCATACGGCGGACTGTGGTAAACCTCGGGATAAACAAAGAGACTAATATTAGTGTAGATGCCATTCTTCTTATGATGTTACAAGTACATCAGGATTTATGGGATGGGAAGTGTTCCCGGATCTAAACTATACAGCCTAACATTGAATTATAGACGTTTATAATGTTTTATGTGTAAGCTAGGTCAAAGAGATGTGTTTATAGTTTATTAGTTTGTTTAGATTTAGAAATTTGGGTGACGAATAATTGTCTAAAATATTTTTAGGGTTTTGACGATTAATTGTCCGTTTTAGGGGTTTGACGACTATGCCGATCGATTGTCTATTTGTGTGTGTGTGTGTGTGTGTGTGTGTGTGTGTGAGTTACCACCACAGTAAAATTCTCATTCCCTCAAAAACCATAGTTGGAGATGGTTTGAGCATTTGTTTAAAACTTTAATAGTATATTGAGTGTGTTAAATACAGTTTACCAAAAAAGTGTCCCAATTTTGCTGAATTTGTCTCTCATTTAAATGTTGTAATGTCAGTCATTCTGCAAAATGTATTTTCCCTGAAATATTTGATTGGAATGAAATTTGGAAACTTGTTTCTCTGATCTGCTCCTCACTTAAGCCTATATTATGCCAGTGTGGGCTATATCGTTTTTCTTTTTTTAAAAAGTATTTTTCATTTATTTGTGTAAATATTCTTAAGGGAAAATGCAGTGTAGGACATAATCCATATTGTCCACGCATCAAGTCATTTCTTCCTTGTATTGTTTTCTCCTCCTGACCTCCTCTTTTGACGCTTCACACTCCAGTCCAGTCGGTGGCGGTAAGACACACACGTTTGTTTACAACCACCATTAAACCTCAGAGGAAGAACTTTAATTTTCAGCGTGGGCTCTTCTGTTGTGTGGCAACGTTACTGGCTTAATACAAACTATTACAAAGAAAAGATAGAACGATATATTTTTACAGGTCAATAAATGTCTGTAATATTCCCATCCTCATATACACGGACTAAGTTTTGAAGCAGGAATATTTGGAGGAGTATCAACTGAACTGAGATCTGCTGCTGTGAAGATGGTGTTTGTTAAAGAGGAGAGTGAGGAGGACATGAGTGAACCAGAACCCTGGAGAATAAAACACGAGGAACAAGGAGGTTGGTTCTTCATCTTTAAAGTGGTCCCATATGCCCATTTACAAAGTTTTGTTTTTGGTTTTTGGATGTACGAATATGTTTCCAAGCCGCATTCACGGACTATATCCAAGCACTTCTTTCACAGGACGTTTGTGTTTTTTTCTTCTAATGTTTGTTACTTACACCATATAATCGTGATTATATAAACTAATTTAATCCAAACAGTAATCGATACTTTTTTTTTGATTATTCCGTGGGCGGGGATTATCCAATCTAGTTTTAGTTGTTAAATAAAATATCTCCCTTTGAATTGGACAGATATTTTTAAATGCTCAGACTGACTAAAGATAAAAAATCGTAAAAGGACCCAAAGCTGTGGTGTTGAAATTGGAATCGAGAATTAATAAGTTTCCCTGGTATTTAAAATTTGGGGTGTCATAATAATTTTTTACAATACACTCTTAAAACGGTTTTAGTTAAAGACAACACATTTTGTTTTACTTTTAACTCAACCAGTGTTATTGTTCTTAACACAGGGAGTTTGATTTCAAGTTTGCACTTTGAATTAGATTAAAATGTAGCAACTGACGAAATGTTGTGTGTAAATAAGTTTTATTTACACTGGTGCACTTTTATAAAATGATGTTGAAAATAACACAACCTTTAAAAAAGAGATGTTAAAAATGACACATGTTGTGTAGATTTTAAAGGTGCCATCTAACATAATAAATCAAATCCTACTCCATATTCCATAACAGATGGGGCAGTTAACCTCCATGACTTGTGCTCCTACCATCGTGCATGTTATTCAAATCATTTGACATGATAGTAAAAGGTTGGAAGACCGCACTTTCACGTGGAGCATTTGGAGATTTTTAGAGATCAGAGACTCAATGAACTAAACACTAGAGTGAACTAAACTAAACACTATGAATCTCAACACTAAATGATGAAGACCGCCTCATAGATCTCAAAAACAAGCTGGTGCATTTCGACTATATGGGAAAATAAAAGCTTGGGCAATTATTTGAAGTTTATGGTATTTGTTTTGTTCATATTACACTTTTGTTGTTAGTGAATTAATTTGACCGACAGCGTTCGCTGATGTTGATCAAGCTAGCGCTGTGAATTCACCGTGAGACACACGCAATTGACACTTAGCAAGCAGGTTAGTTAAGCTCTCAGATTCTGTCAATTTATTACGCAATTCAAAAGAATAAAATACCGTTTTTTGCGCTTGTACATGTTACACCACAGATCCCTAGCGCACGTGAACCGATCGTCTCTACTAGCTAATGGAAAAAAGACATGAACTCTGTTGAAAGATACCGTATGCTACAACTTACCAAAATGTATTCCTCATGCATAATGTTGACCAATCATTTTTTGAACTCTTCCCTGAACTGAAATGTAGTAATGGGCTGTATTTCCACACGACTGACATCAAGTTCAAGTACACACAAGCCGGCGCGAGCGCGACTCACTCGTCTATTGCATTTTGGCTGGTGGTAATGTTGCTCGCCCGCATACCGCCTCCCATGGCCGGAACTGGTATTACGACACCTGCCGGGACGGGGCTAGTAATTTAGCATGCTAATTCAGGTTAATATCTCGACAGCACTATAACTTGTCAGTTTTTTAATGACATCATTGCACTTATTTCTTCTCATTCTTTTGATGCGTGTAGCTCATTTTTCGGATATTGTTACATCAATTATTACATATGGCACCTTTAACACATGTAGTGTGTGTGCTTAGGGACAACACATTTTGTGTAGATTTTAACACGTTTTGTAGATTAACACATGTAGTGTGTGTGCTCAGGTAGGGCTGGGCGATATATCGCACGATATTGTATGCGCATCTAATCAGTAAAGC